TTTGTGATGAGCGCATCGATCGTGTGAGGATGCAATTTTGAGCTGCGGGATAATATCTGAAAATAGTCTGAAAATAGCAAGTTATTTGGCAAACTGGAGTTGATGAAACCAGGCCTTTAGACATCTACATGCAGGGGCGTACGCAGGGGGGGGGGGGGGGGTTTTGGGGGTTCAAACCCCCCCTAAAAAACCTAAACCCCCCCCCCCCCCTTTGTTTTTTTGTTTTTTTGTTTTTTTTTTATTATTTAAAAAAAAAAAAAAAAAAAAAAAAATTATACCTACGGCTAACCTAAATAAGGTGACCTTACCCCCCCCCCCCCAATGACAAAAAATGTCAAATTATGAAATTTCGAGACCAAAAAAAAAAAAAATGTGTCCGCTTACCCCCCCCCCCCCCCCCTCCACTGAGCGACTTTTCGGCTGGCTGAGTCGTTGCGATTTTTTTTGACCTCCAAAAAAAAAAAAAAAAGGGTCCGCTTACCCCCCCCCCCCCCCCCCCCCCCCACTGAGCGACTTTTCGGCCGGCGCGATTTTCAAATTTTCGGGAGCAAAATATTTTAAAACCCCCCCCTTGAAAAAATCCTGCGTACGCCCCTGTCTACATGTACATGTTGTTAACAATAGTTAATAGGCACATACATGTACCCTTGTCAGTGTACAGTAGGTCTGTAACATAGTGTTTGAACTAGTGTGAAAAAGACTTTACTGTTTGTGGGAGCCCCTTTGGATTTGGTGTTTTATGAGTGTGATTTTTTTCTTCTTCTTCACAATAATACCTACATGTATATCACAATATTGTATTGTTTTTTACCAAAGCTCTTTTTCTATTTACCAGAGCACTTTTCTTTTTTTCTTTTTTTAAATTGGGTACTCAAGGATAACATAAATCATGTACAGGAATGTGAAATGACATCAAAAAAACATCATGTAGTCCCCTACAACCAGAGCACCTTTGGACCTTTCAATAGCTTCAATATCGCTCATTGCCTTTCATGTGTATTTTTTTTAATTTGTTGGTCTTAACATGAAGAACATGCATATACTGTACATGCAAGTAGACTGCATTGTCGAATGTCAACTACATAGGCCATATACTCTTACTTGATGCCTTTAGTTCCTGGCAAATTGATTCTAAAGGCTTTATAGCATTGTGAGCAAGCTGATACAGTCTGTGCCTGCAGGCTAAATAAACTGCAATATAATGATATAAAAAAGAAATAAACTTTGTCCTGCTTACAGCAGATTAATGATCTCTTATATTTCTGGATGATATTGATATTTAGAGATAAATTTTGCTTTACTTTTTGATAAGAGGTGAACTATTGATACGTGTGTTTACTTTATTTTGTATTTCTTAGTAGTAGGTTTGTTTGTTTTTGCTCTGCAGAGAAGAGTTATAATTTCATGTATCTGATGAACTAGACGGATTCATTATTGAACTACGTGTATATGTTATGAGGATAAGGATTTGTTTACAACATGCGTTCATTTTCATGACATGAACAAAGTTAAAAGTAGGCTTGAGTCGGTACGGTCGATCACACCGGGACCCGACCGTTGCCGTCGGGTCCCGGTTTCGTTTTTGAGAACCGACGCTCCGAAAAAAATAATGAAACATGTAAGAAATTGCAGTTTTGCACACCACTAAAATCATTCCACCTTAAAACTTAAGTATTTAATTGTTACCAATTAATCATATTCTAGCTCATCCTGAATCAATCCGAACTGCTGATATAAATATGGGTTGCAAAGCAGTTCGACCCATGGGGTTGTTGTTGCCAGCTGCTAGCTAGCTACTATACTGGCCGGGTCTCTCGGCAGGATAATTAAATCAGGTTGAAAGAAACATTAATGTTTGAATAATAAAACGGCCTTCTAAAAAGTATTTCTTTGCAACATACCGATCGAATAATTTTTAAAAGACAAAATATATATTTTTTCTTTGATTTTGAACACCGCATGCTTCTTTTAAAAGCTGAAAATTACTTAGTAATCACAAAAAGTTTCGATACGGATAGCTGTTGCAAGGCAAGTTCAGACTAGTCTCGGAAAAATGCGCAGTGTTCCTCGTCGTTAGCTGTAATGCGTGCCAGAACGAACCCAAACAAAGACGTGATCGTAACGAGAAAAAATCATTAAAAACTACGAGAGCACAATTGGAAAGACAACTACTCAAAATTATCGTAAGCAGATACATATCTTGGAGGAAGAATACAATAGTTGTCCAAGAAAAGCCACAGAAACAGTGATATTTAAGGAGTTACTATAGGTACAATCATTATCGGAATGGGCCTTTTGCTCTGAATTACACGTGTTTAAATTGAACACGAGGCTAGATCGAAAACAAATACCGCCCTCTACGGTAAAAGCAGTATAACAAAGTATTCGAGTATTTGCAGAAGGCCCCTTGCGATAAAAATGTACCCAGTTACTCCTCGATTATCACATTTTCTGTGGCATTTCTTGGGCGATTATTGAATTCTTTGTCCAAGTAATGTATCTGATTATGGTAATTTTGAGCAGTAGTTCTCTTTCCAATTGTGCTCTCGTAGTTTAGAATGATTTTTTGTTACGATCAAGTATATTTGTTTTGGTTCGGTCTGGCACGCATTACAGCTAAGAGGTGCACTGCGCATTTTTCCGTGACTAGTCTGAACTTGCCTTGCAACAGCTGTCCGTATCGAAACTTCTTGTTGTGATTACCAAGTAATTTTCAGCTTTTAAAAAAAAGCATGCGATGTTTAAAATAAGAGATAAATATTTCTTTGTCTTTAACAAATTATTTGATCGGTATGTTGTAAAGAAGAATTTTTTAGAAAGCCGTTTTATTATTCTAACATTCATATTCTTTGACCCGATTTATTCAACCTGCATAAATCAAAATGGCGGCTCGAATGTAGTCTTTATATTTTTGCTCGAGTTTTTTTTATTTTTAGAGGCACGATAATGCCACTAAACATCGCCAATCATGGATGAAAAATAATGTCAAATGGAAGAATATACCAGTCTGTGCCGAGGTATGCATGTGTTGATTTATTTGACTGATAAAAAAGGTCACTTTTAAGGGACATACTGATGATATGCGCTTTTTATAGAGGCAAGTGACAAATCCTGCGAGCTGATTTCGGGACACCGGGTCCCGATCGGTGCAAGGCCGTCGGGACCCGGTTTATGAAAATCCCGACATGACTCAGGCCTAGTTAAAAGATAAAGATTGTGCCAATCAGTGAATCCTACTTGTACTACTAACCTTTGAAGAAACTCAGCACACTGGAATACTTCATGGAGGAAGGTCAACCTTTGAACATTCTTTGAAGTAGGTTATATTCTCTACATGGAATTTTTTGCTTGATGTCTTAATTTTCAAGTATACATGTATATATTTTGCATCAATGGATACATTCATTGCAGTAGATTTTGAGTTTTACTTTTGGAAACATTTGAGTATCTGATTTGGAAGGAAAGAGCTTGTCCTATGACTAGATGTGATTTTTGACTTGACAGCTAAAGCTGGGGATTTGAAGTTGCACGGAAGAGCGCAAGAGTTGCAAACTTGAAATGAACACTTAATCTTAATGACCCACTTGTTTCTTTTGTCCAGAATTAACTAGGGATATAATCATAATATTTACAGCTATTGCATTAGTAAGGAATACATTTATATACAGCACATTACTGGAGTACTTATTCGCATTACAATTTTAATTTTATTGGTACCCCTATCGATTGGATTTCAAGCCTGCTCACAAATGTGCACCATCTCCACTCCATTAGGAGTATTCCTAGTCCTACCATTTTACACCCGGATATGTACTGCAAACATGTATGCGCAAGGTTACAATCCTTGTAATATCAATAACGGTAATATTTGGGTAGAGGTGTTGTGGTATAGTAGATAAGTCATCAGACTGAATATCACAAGGTTTGGGGTTCAAGTCCCTGCCATGATGGGTACGTGTAGGTGGCAGAAATTAATTCCATAAAGTGCTAGAGCATCATACATGTAATAGCAACCAATCTAAAGCCAGGGAAATAAAAATGGACAGCCAGGAGTGTCCAGTGTGACAGACATGAGTGCTATTCACAAACCCAATATTACTATCATTATGATTATTCTTCTTGTTTATATTCCACATACTAAGAATCTTGCTCTACGATTGGTCAAAAGTAAATCACGGGATGAAAGATAGATCGCCCATTATTGATGACTTGACCTTTGAGCTACTGACCTCTTGAAGCGCTTTGTGCTGAAACTGAATTTGGTGAAATTCCAAAATTAATCTTGTGTGCAGCAAAAATAGAAACTTGGAAAGGATTGTATTTGGATTGATTTGTACTTCTTTTCTGTCAACACATTAGAGAGCTTTCACTTTAAGAGGACCATTCATGATAAATTGCACGAGGGGGAGTGGGTGGGTGCTGGCCTGGGAAGTATTTTAGGGTTGTAACCAATCACGTGAGACCGGTCAGATGTAGTAAATCATGTTCTGTGGTATACATAAAACATCTGTTTTGTGTGAATACAAGATCACACACTTTCTTTCACAGATTCAAACCGTTCGACTAATAACCTAGCTCTGATAGTCTCTGAATTTGGCTATTACTCTAACCTGTTTTGATCATTCTTTTGTAATTACTAGTAAGTACTAAATAATCTCAATCTGTATTCTCTTCTATTGTAACTGTATATTGACCATTTGTTTAATTAAGGAGTTTTTAATAATTCATTGTATTTGTTGTTTCATTTTGAAATTTTATATTTCAGAGTGTATGTATAATTGATGCAATTTCAATGATTGTTTTGTAACCTATTTCTATATTTAAAATGGTTTTTATATTTCCATGTACTTGTGTATTGAAAATAATCCAATTTAGTAGATTATTTTCAATCCAAATTGAAAATTGAAAAATAATCTGAAATTGTGGATTACTTTCAATAAATGAATTTAAATTTGACTTTGAATTTATACTCTAACTGACTTCTTCTGTTTCATCAGCAGAACTCTGTCACAAGAAAGATACACAAGCACAATGGAAGATGTTAGTGAAGAGAAGGGCCTGTTAGAAGGGGAGGAGAGTAAGCGTAACCATGGCACCTTACCTGCGAATGGACACTCCATACATCACAACCATACGATGTACCAAGAAATGGATACTGCAATAGATAACGATGATAACAACGATACATGTAACAGGTAAGCAACCATCTTGAGGCTTGGTAAATCGATTTGCAGCCATTCAAAGGGCAAGTTTCTCAAACCATCAATGCCGTAATTAACGGTGTATTAACCGCACCTTTTTGCCGCCGAAAAAAATTCAAAGTCGGGGGTGCGGTTTATACATGGTACATCAACAACAAACAAAAATTAAGTTTCGATTTACCACCTGGCGCTATGCATGGCAATGTATCCCAGCTCAGTAATCGGTGTGTTGACTCACCACTCGGAAACTAGAACAACACTCATATTTGTCTGTCATCTTGGTTTGAATGTAATCTTTCTGATAGATTTCAATATGTAGTTGATAAAAATAATTCCTCCAATTTTTCTTCTATTACACGGCGTACCACAAGGTTCTATCCTAGGTCCTCTACTGTTAAGTCGGCAAAAAAAAAGTCGGCAAAAGAAAAGAGGGGTGCGGTTAATACACGAGGGCGGTTTATACAACATTAATTACGGTAGTCTGAATTTCCTGGACATCCCTTTTATTGAAATGGATATTACTGCAGAGTCTCACATTTTTCTATAGGATGTCCAAGAACTTAACCTTTTGATTGTTTCAAAAGATTGGACCCAGGCCTCGGATTAGGTGGGGTACAGGGGCCGTAAAATTGTGCTCCAGAGCACCTTGAAAAAGTCGTTTGGAGCCCCGAATATTTAATGATGATACATGTAGATCTAGATGTCTTTGTGTATAAAATGTGATGAATTATATTAAATAACATGTATAAGCCTTCTTGTTGCATATAATATGTGGTTGCATTTGTTTTTTTAAAGTTTGTGATATCCTTAATTAACATAATGATAATTTCATGGATTTCCATAAAGTTGGTTTTGTAACATACTGAACATTGGATGACATTGACTAGCTCTCAATGTACCGGTACTTTTCAAAAATAGATCGTTATCTTTCCACCTTTAGGAACTGGAAAATAAAAAGAATTTACAACCTTGTAAAATCCTTGAACTGGTTAGATAAAGTGATAAAGCATGTGTCTATTGTGATTGGGAACAAAGAGGCAACAAACTGTATCATTTTGACCTCAACACACAGTAGCTGCACTTAGAATTTTGCAAGCAAAAATCATTACTTTTTCTCACATTCCAGTATTTTGTTGGAATTTGCTATTAAAGCAACTACCAGCAGACATGACGAAAAACCGAAACCAAAAAACCCACCTCTTGGGGTGTGGTGTTTTAAATGCCAGCAGAAATTTCACAGATTTTTGCAGTGTACTCTCAAAACATTGGTGAATGATGACAATTTTTGGCATGTGACTCTCTTCACTACCATGTGATCTCATTCAGAACAATAAAGTCACGCATGTGCACTTGATGGGCTGATAGTGGCCCCCGCTGTTTTTAATATGTACCGGTATTCCTAAATTGTTGTAAATGTTTATAATTGATTTTTAATGTTTTGTTGGAAACATGATTAAAGTGAAATTGAAAACTAATATGTTGAAGTGTATGTAAAAGGAAAAGTTTATTAACCTCAATACAGCGACTGCATGATAATCTGCACGTCAGCAGCTGTTTTTAATAAGTATTCCTAATTTGTTGTAAATGTTTATAATTAATTTTTAATGTTTTGTTGGAAACATGATTAAAGTGAAATTGAAAACTGATATGTTGAAGTGTATGTAAAAGGAAAAGGTTATTAACCTCAATACAGCGACTGCATGATAATCTGCACGTCAGCAGCCTTTTTTTTTGCAATAATTTGAAGACAAGGCAAGCTACATGTACACTATACGATAGTAATAAAAATGTACGTAGGTGGGTTTCCAATATTTTTAGGGTATAATTGAGAATTTAAGATACATTTAGTTTGTCCCTCGAACATGTACATGTACATTGTATGAAACAATAATGATGAAGTATAATAGAAATGGAAGTTCACAACATGTAAATTATACTTACAAGTGTTTGTACATGTAGGTTGGTAAGAGATTCTTCTTCTTCAAAACTTCGCTGCCCTTATGTAAAATTGTAAATGCTATCAGAGCATAGATTTTATATATCAATATGTATTTACAAATTCAGGACCATAATTACATTTATATTTGGAATTTCTGGGGGGGGGGATTTCTGTCACTTTAATTTTGTTATTTATATGCAAAATAGTACATATTCTCTACAAAATGTAAAAATATTAGATTATCTTTTGAATTATCCAAGAAACAGTTGAAATATCATTATGACCTTGAAAGAATTAATTTATTCAAAACAAGACAAATTTGTTTTATTTCTTGATAAATGAATTGAAACATGTTATAACATATTATGTTAAAATAAATGTAATATTTGTATTACTGTGTCGTACATGTTGCCATGACATCACTTTTTTGTATTGTGTACTTTAGATATTTTGCTTTGAGATTTCTGAATTTTTATTTGAAGAAAAATAAATAAATACATAATCCCCTTTTTAAAGGGATTGAATTTCACAATGAGGCTATGGTCCGTTTCTGTTACGGTTTCTGTAAAGATCCATTTTCAATTAAAATTGCCTGTGTACATATACCATAAAACACATTATCGTTCTTTTTCTCATTGCAAGTGCATTAACATCCAATGTTACAAAAAGGAAATAGAAAAAAAAAACTTTTTCAATTATATTATTTGTAGGGGCGATTTCATCGTGTACTATTGATGATTGCTGTATTAGTAATTACAGTAATAAATTAATTATTAAATAACAAATGGGTATTTGGAATATTTATAGATTTGAGACATCACAAAGAACATCCTTCTCCTGGGATAAGATGCTTCTGGATGACTTAGCGTACGGAGATGGACAGACGCCGCCTGGTAAATTCAAAAGAGCGTTTGCAAGATGCAAGCCTTCTGATCAAACAAAGTTAGTATCCGTGGTTGTGATCTGTACTGTGAAAGTCATATCATGATAATCAATAACATTAATTGATAATGATGGTGATGATGATAGTGATAGTTATAATAATAATGATGATGATAATGATGAATAGATAATCAATAACATTGAGTAATAATGATGGTGATGATGATAGTGATAGTTATAATAATAATGATGATGATAATGATGAATAGATAATCAATAACATTAAGTAATAATGATGGTGATGATGATAGTGATAGTTATAATAATAATTTCAATTTTGTTTATATCACATACTTTATTTATTGAAAATAACAACTGAAATCATGTAAAAAAGTAACATTCAAGCGTAGACTACTGCCTGAATACATGGGACAGTACAGAAGAAGAAGAAGAAGAAGAAGAAGAAGAAGAAGAAGAAGAAGAAGAAGAAGAAGAAGAAGAAGAAGAAGAAGAAGAAGAAGAAGAAGAAGAAGAAGAAGAAGAAGAAGAAGAAGAAGAAGAAGAAGAAGAAGAAGAAGAAGAAGAAGAAGAAGAAGAAGAAGAAGAAGAAGAAGAAGAAGAAGAAGAAGAAGAAGAAGAAGAAGAAGAAGAAGAAGAAGAAGAAGAAGAAGAAGAAGAAGAAGAAGAAGAAGAAGAAGAAGAAGAAGAAGAAGAAGAAGAAGAAGAAGAAGAAGAAGAAGAAGAAGAAGAAGAAGAAGAAGAAGAAGAAGAAAGAAGAAGAAGAAGAAGAAGAAGAAGAAGAAGAAGAAGAAGAAGAAGAAGAAGAAGAAGAAGAAGAAGAAGAAGAAGAAGAAGAAGAAGAAGAAGAAGAAGAAGAAGAAGAAGAAGAAGAAGGAGAAGGAGAAGGAGAAGGAGAAGGAAGAAGAAGAAGAAGAAGAAGAAGAAGAAGAAGACTGAATCTGTGAATCCATAAATACAAATAAATCTACTACATTTATTAAGTCATGAACTATTTTTATTCCAATTACATAAACTATAATTTGTGAAACATAGCATACTCACGTCCATATAAGCCAAGGGGTCCTTATTTTGGTCTTAATGCATTTACTTGCTAAAATAATGGGTCTTAGATTACTTCAAGAGTTCAAAGTTTAAAAATCACAGGGTCATAAAATAGTCATAAATCATGTACAAGATATCTTGGTTATACTCAAAGAACTTTAGAACCATTGAACAGATTTTTATTTATCAAACTGGGCTCATTTAGCCTTTACAAAATGTAAAATTCTTATAGCCTTTGACTTGATGGATATTATGATGCTGAGGAATAATATAAGCACAATCACATTCATCTCAATTTTTTCAAAATTCACAAACTCTCATTCTACTTTTGTTGTGTTGACCTTAATAACAAATGCCGGTAGATAATATTCAACGTGTGATGCCCTGAGATGTCATGTGAGGGAGTTCCTGTTTTGTTTGGCCCACTCTCAATATATCGACAAAACATTGAGTGATATGACATTTTTTTATAGAAAACAGATACTCACAAGGTGTGAGGTGTGAGGGAGTTCCTGTTTTGTTTGGCCCACTCTCAATATATCGACAAAACATTGAGTGATATGACATTTTTTTATAGAAAACAGATACTCCCAAGGTGTTTGTTGACCTTATCACATGAGGTTTCGGTAGCTTAACTACATTGGAATTACTTCCTGTCAGGTTTATTTTCTTTCGGCTGTCATTATTTCCTTTGAACTTTGAAACAAAAATGAAAGATAAAGTTAGAGAGAAAGCGGATTATACAGTCTTGTGGTCATTTGGGTACCAGCCATACACTTGCACCGTCAATTGAGCATTTCCTGTCACACGTGTACTGAATGAATTTTCGATTTACATGCACCTGCCAACTTGGCAAGCAAGACAACTTCTCCTTTTGACAAAGAAAAACTATGTCAAAATACAAGGAGCTCTTATTTTCTTGTGTCCACGTAAAACATGACAACAATGGCCTTACATTACACTTTTACAATTGTGGCAAATATCATGGGAGGAAAGGGATTATATATGATTATCTGTTTCAGCTATTATGATGGACTATGAAGTATGAAATCAATTCTAGGAATGTTGATAATTTCATACCAGACGATTCAGAAGCAAAAGTCACATCGTCATAACAAGAAATAATATATGGGTATGAATATTGGGTCAATTTTAGAGTTTTCCAGTGTTAATGCAATTCAGATCAAAGAACAAAAACACAACAAATACCGGAAAATGACCATTTAGTTTATACTGTGGAAACAGCATACTTATCTTACTACTGAAGAGAAGGTGTCTTATCAGTGGAATGCTTCCTAGTCTTGTGTTTGCTGTGGTGTTGTATTTGATGTTTAGTAGATATATACTGATACTTAAGAAAAACAATTGTTTGTGCCACAAGATTTATAAGAATCCTTTAATTTCCCAAGTAGACTTCTATTGGCTCAGACCCTTCTATGCGAATTCAAGATTTCAATTCATACTTTGCTTTCCACAAATGTAAATCGTAAAATATGTTTGGGTGTCAAGTAATTGGTTATAATATTCATATGACTATTAACCTTGACTAGATTAAAGTTCCTTTTAACAAAATATGTATACAAAACATGGTGTATATCTATTTGTTATCTCTATGTAAAATGAATTTCGTTTTTTTTAAAAAATATATCATATCAAATCTTTATGTTTGCATTGACATTACATGTACCGGTAGGTTGGTTGTGGAACCTTGTTATAACATCATTAGGTCCTACTAATAATGTGTGCCATGAACATTGGGTTTCAAGGGGATCTGGCACCTTACAAATGTTGTCCCATTATTGTTGTTGTTATTTATTTTTATTTTTATTATTATCGTTATTATTATTATTATTTTTTCCTCCATATTATTAATATTCTTTTTTCTTCTTTCTTATTTCATCTTTACAGGCTCTATCTAAGATATACCAAAATTGCAGTTGTATTTCTGGCAATGTTTGTCTGCACAGTAAGTTCTGCAAGTTATTTTATTTCATTAATTTAAGATATTGTACACTATATTGCTTTGGTTAAAATATATCCCTGAAAAATAAAGACTTGCTGACATGATTTGAATGGTTTCTTGGAGTAGTGTAGTACTTCGTCCACCATAGGTTACGGCCATCCAAGAGCATAACAAGAGATTATTCAATGTCTTATGTGAAGAGGCAAGAGACTGTTCAATGTCTTATGTGAAGAGGCAAGAGATTTTTCAATGTCTTATGTGGAGAGGCGAGAGACTATTCGATGTCTAATGGGAGAGATTGTTCAATGTTTTTATGTGAAGAAACAAGCTCAGATAGATTATTCAATGTCTTATGAGAAGAGACAAGCGGTTATTCAATGTATTATGAGAAGAGGTGAGAGATTATTCAAATACTTATGAGAGGGGACAATTCAATGTTTTATGTGAAGAGGCAAGAGGTTATTTAATGTCTTATGTAAAGAGATGATTTAATGTCTTATGAGAAGAGATTATTTAATGTCTTATGTGAAGAGGCAAGTGCGTGGCCATCCCTGAACTAAAGCGGGAATATTTTGCCTATTATTAAGCATACTTGATGCCCCCCCCCCCTGATAATAGTGGCTAACAATGAGGGCACCCTTCCATGTTCAGCTCTCTGAATCGGTGTAGACAATGATCAGTGCAGTATAGGGCTAAATTTTTGTCCATGTACACCAGATGGTAAAATAGTATCTGATATTGTTAGGAATGGCAATGTATAAGGTTTTTTTTTTGGGGGGGGGGGGCACTGGGGCTCCCCCCCCCCTTTTCCTGTAAAAAAAAATAAGAGGAAAGGAGGAAAAAAGGATAATTCATGGGCCGATGAAATCCTGGATCTGTTTGAGATTTTTGAAAGGATTTAAACTCAGTTTATTTTATTGAGAATTTAAAAAAAACAGAAGCCATACATGTAACCGTAAACTTCATCAAAATTTTAAACTCTTCATGTAATTACACGTTTCCATTATTCGTTTAGCTTGAAGCAAAACCCCACTTGTATTCTGTAAAATGATATCTGAAAAAGATATCTGAAAACCTTTTTCCAGTTTCAAACTACAATAATTAGTTGAATTTCATGATTATTTTATTTTTCTTTTCATTTTGTTTCAGGTATTCTTCACTCTAAAAGATGAAGTGAATCCTTCGCCTGAAATCTTCTCTATCGCACAGGACAATCCTTATTGTATCCTTCCTCATATTCTTTAATCCTATTCAAATAGGGTATTTTTTATTGAAAATTATTCAAATTTCTAGTAATTGTATTTTTATTTTATTTTATAAAAGTCATATTATATCTTATAAAAGTCATATCTGAAATATATGGACAAAAATCTGTTCAAGATTTAAAAATTTCCAATTATAACAACAGTGTATTTTGTTACCGTACATTGAATTACATGTAGGTAGATCATACTCTTGACACTTGCTGGGAATGACACTGCCGTTTGCATATAATATATATTATAAATCTTCTGTTAAGAGCCAAAAAGGTGATAAATCTATATTGTTAAAAGTTAATGCCCTTCTGGATCACAACAGACAATTATTCATTGAGTACTAAACATTGTGACATACATGTACATGTATATGTAGAAATGGCATAGCCATCTTGATCCAAACAACTTCTGGTACCAGTTTTTTAAACAAAATGTACTGAAAACTCCCATTGTCTGTAAAATCGCCTCACAAGAAATTCTATTCAGTGCTCTTTTTTTTCCTTAATCCTAACCGCTGTACCAGTATCAGAAATTAGAGATCTTGGCAGTAACGACATTATTATAGTCACCTTCAAGGGCCCTATCGTTGAGTTGGGCAGCCTCAACTCAACAGAGAATATCACCGTCAGACTGGTTGGCAGGGACCTTACACAAGAGGGCATCATCTGCCATGAGTATTCAGAAGTTTATAACATCATTCGAGAATATCCCCTATCGAAAAGCATCTTCTGGGAAGAAATGGAGAAGAAATTTACTGATGTCAAAGAAGGGTAATTAAGCTGATATACTAGGAATACATAAACCTTATTTACAATAGCGTTGTATATTTCCTCTCTCCTTCATCCCTCTTCAACTACACGTACAGAGGGGTGTTTCACAAAACTTGTCATCAGTGAAATCCTTGCTTCTGATTGGTTATCAGCAGGTTCGTCACTGATTTATGTCATTTGTCATTGAAAAAAGGCTTTGTGAAACAAAACCCTGGTCTCCATTCCTCCATTTCCACAAGGCTTAAAGCACCCAGAACAAAAATGAGCTGGGATTACCGAGCATTCACTGCTGCTGCACCCTGACTTTAGAACTCCATTTCCCACTCAATCTAAATATCTCTCTCTCTCTCTCTCTCTCTCTCTCTCTCTCTCTTTCTCTCTCTCTTGATTGTCTATCCTGTAAACTCTGCACCGCTTTGTGAGCATCATGGATGAGTTGATGTATAAAACATTTTATTTTATTCAGTACTTCCACTCAGAGGTTCATAATATTCATGACACTCTTACTCCAGACAAAACTTTGCACGATCCTCTCACATCATCATCCCTCAAGACGATCTAATCTACCACGCGAGATGAGATCCAATCACTGCTGTGCAGACTTCCAGTTAAGTCATGTCATATAGACCCTGTCCACACTATTCTCATCAAGGACTGCTCTTCAACGTTTTTCAACGTTTGCCTCTTTTATTTCACAGATTGTCAACTTAAGTATTGATCAGGCCTATGTACTCTCTTTGCTCAAACCTGCCTATATTCTTCCTTTATCAAAGAAGCCTATTATAAGCCTGGATTCTGAAGTGCTCACTAATTATCGTCCGGTTTCTAACCTCCCATTTTTTGTTCAAAATACTTGAAAGAGTAGTGTTCTCTAGATTATCAGATTATTGTCTTGATAATAACCCACTTTATTTAAATCTGCATACCGTCCTCATCATAGTGCAGAAATCCTCCTTGTTAATGTGTCTAACTTCAATCTTCAGGAAATGGATGTGGGAAATGTAACTGTACGGTTTGGTGCCTTACAAATCTCATATTATTATTAACACGATATCATACATTATTTAATTGGTAACTGTTATTTGATTAATTTTCATCTCTTAGATGTGGTGATAATACCAGTTATGAGGTGAGTTTTGAGAGCAACATTGATGAGTTGGTGACCCTCGAGACCGAACATACCATCTTACCCTCGTCATCAAAGAATGAGGTCATTTGGGCAGCTATTATCTTAGTGGCTGTTTATATCCTGATCGGTTTTGAGGTATGTGCTAGTATACAAAACATTTCATGTTTGTGAGAGCTTCAGTGAATATGTAATATTAAATTTAATATCAAATAATGTCAAATTCACCATTATAACCCATGTTTATGTGTCTATTGCACGAATAAGACAGGTAAGGTATGGGGGAGAAAGATTGTTTGTAGAGACTAGGAAAGTGTAGCAGTCTGGTTTAATATTCTTTGTTGTTTTGTTCACAGCTAATACACAGGACCACCGCAGCCATGTTAGGATCTTTTGCCACGCTAGCCGTGTTGACCAGCTACAACCAACGTCCACCTCTAGAGGAAGTGATGGCCTGGTTGGACTATGATGTTCTTGCTCTACTCTGGGGAATGGTGAGTAGGGGATGCTCCCACGTTTGCTCCGTTGACAATTGCTTCTGGGGGGAGTTTCACAAAGATGCCAAGTTAAACTTAACACTAAGTTGGACTTATAAAATTATGGAAAGCTGTTGGTATCTTTAAAATATTTTGTAAAATTTATATTAAAACGCATAAAATGTCGATTCAAATCATTCATATTTTCTATTATCAAGAAGATTTCATGTTCTTGATGTGGAATTTATGAAAAGTCTAAAATACTTGAATTTCTGCTTTTGAATAAATTTCATTTTAAAGCTACAAATGGCTCTCCATAATTTGTAAGTCCAACTTAGAGTTAAGTTCTACTTAGGATCTTTGTGAAACACCCCCCTGGTCTTATTTCATCGATGATATGTGGTTACGGTTGTAAGGGGTGTTAGGTTAGGTGAAGGGTTCTGGCTTCTTTATTGCAACTTTGTATAAACAGGGTTGAAGCCTTAACAAAACCCTCAGATCAATGAATTTAAAAGATTTCTCTCTGGATATTGATAGAAGTAGTAGTACTATATTATTATTATTATTATTATTGTTGCTGTTTTTGTTATTATTATTATTATTATTATTATTATTATTATTATTATTATTATTATTATTGTTGTTTTTGTTATTATTAGTATTATTCATTTGCTCTTTGCAGATGACCATAGTAGCCATCTTTTCTGAGACGGGCTTCTTTGACTATTGTGCTCTGCTCTCCTACAAGTGGGCTAAAGGCAAGATCTGGACACTGGTCACCATTCTTTGTCTCTTCTCTGGGATCGTATCTGCCTTCCTTGACAACGTCACAACCATTCTACTCATGACTCCTGTCACTATCAGGTATTTGATTGGTCTGTTGCATATCACCTGGGGGTGTTTCACAAAGATCCTAAGTCAAACTTAAAAGTTGGACTTGAACATTATGGAGAGCCATTTGTAGACTTAAAATAAAATATATTCAAAAGCAAAAATTCAAGTATTTAGACTTTTCATAAATTTCACATCAAGAACATAAAATCTCCTTGATAATAGAAAATATGAATGATTTGAATCAACATTTTATGCCTTTTGAAATAACTTTTACAAAATATTTTCAAAGATGCTAACGGCTTTCCATAATTGTTAAGTCAAACTTAGAGTTAAGTTCGACTGAGGATCTTTGTGAAACACCCCCCCCCCCCCGATCTACAATTATATTCATTTATATTTTCTTCTCTAGCTGTGAAATTTTTGTGGGTTCTGGTGACAATTGCTCCAGTCAACATCTTCCTACTACTGCTACCTCAACCTCGGCCTGTGGCCTTGATGAAATATTGCATTAGTTGGGAAATTCTGAATTTGAAGGTTGATATATTTTGTTATATTGAACTCAGGAGCATTCATTATTTGTTCTCTTTTTGTTTTTCTTCCAGCCTTTGTGAGGTACTCAACATTGATCCTAGACACGTATTGATAGCCGAGGTAATTTTCTCGAACATCGGAGGGACGGCCACGGCCATCGGAGATCCTCCGAATGTCATCATTGTTGCCAACTCTGACATCGAAGCAGCAGTGAGTATTGTCTCTAAATGCCACCAATTGGCATCCTATTACAAACTTTTTTTTGTTTTCTTCATTTGCAAGACATTTTCAAAATAAATACCATTCTGTTTCTGCATTTTGAACTCAATAAGACCTTTATTTTGCAAAAGAATACATTAAAGCTAATCTTCAGTGCTGGTATGGGCATTGAATGTCAAGAGAACATGATTATAATTTATTCTGGATTGCTAATCCTGCAGTAGATTGATTGTTTGTACCTGTAAATTAAAAACGACCTAACAAAATCTTGCTGGAAATCATCTTCAATTTAAAAAAATAAAAGAATCCTCTCATTTACACATACTTACCTTGATTTCCTTATCTTTCTATGCTCATTACTCGGTCCCTACACATTTTCTACCAAAATTGTTTGGCACATGTCATTTATTTGTAATCTTGAACATTCAATTTTGATGGATTCTGTGAGAATTTATTCTCTATCATTACCAGAACTCAAGCTTATCTTTAATATATGCTTATCAACCTCACTTATTATAATATTATTAACCATGAAAACTTTGAACATTGTAAGATTGTTATATTGCAGGATGTCAAGAAAACATAAAATATGGGATTTTTTTTTTTTTTCATCTTTTTATTCATATTCAGTTAGAGATTTTACAACAATTTTTTTCTTCAATCCTTTGTATGTAAACATGTAATAAATTCAAACACTCTTCATGAAAAATTTTATCATTATTTCATGATTATCTTCCTTCATGTTTATCTAGCTTTTTTTTGCTTTTTGTGTATCATCTTCAAGTGTAACATTCTGTTAAATTTGTTGAGTAGAATTCTTTGGAATAATATTACAATAGAACCTGTTTTGATGAACACTATGATGGCAAAGTCCTGTTTTAGCAAGGGCATTTTCAGGTTCCATTTCCTTGTACACTATTGTTTTAAAGCCCTGGGCCCCATTGCACAAAACTCAACATTGATGGTAACTTTGCCATCAATGGTAACTACCATGCAAAGCTTGATTTTGATTGGCTGTTGAGCCCTGTTACCATGGCAGATACCATTGATGGCAAAGTTACCATCAATGGTAAGTGTTATGCAATGGGCCCAGGTATACCAAGGTTTCAGTGTGGTAAGACACGGCTCCCCTTTATTACATTAAAGTTATGAACTCTCACCTTATGTTATCATTTTGTGCATGTTGAGCTCAACAGTTGCTCATTCATATTTTACCATGACATTTTTGTCTGTGTGCATCATTGATTCGATTCAAAATTCAATTCAATTAAAATGGTTTAATTCATTTAAAAACTTTCGCGGCCAGAGAGCCAAATTGCAATTTCTTTTTACAATTTACATACATCGGTGACAAAGTAAAATTACATGTAATACATATGCGTAATAACATTATGGTATTAAAATTCCAATTTGTTTTGTATACCGGCATATAATAATTGTGCTTCTACAACACCTGCTCCTGCTAGTATTGCTCAGCGATTCAGTACATTAATCAAACTCCTAATCCCAACCCCGGACAAGAAACCTACTCCGCACCCAACCTCAACACTAAGCAAATTCAACCCCACATCCCAGATAAAAAAAAGCCTTGAGCAACATGGTAATTAATACCAAGGTCCCTTTCATAACAATATCAATTTGATGAAGTTTCACCTTTTGGTATAATATATGTTGCATGTTAAGCACGACATAATGCAATGACAGTTTTAGAAATAGTTTTACTCATCCATATTTATTCATTCATGACATCTTTGTATACATCACTGAATTGATTCAATTTGACAGGAAAAGAGGTATCCTTATATATTGGTGAGTATATGATGAACATTTTTATTTCCCCAAGTGAATGCTCTACTAGCGTTGGTTGTTTCCTTTTTGTGCTATAGATTGGTGTTGCTTTGTTCTTAATTAATTGTGTTTATCCACTAATCTAGTATTGCATGTTGGTGATATGGTGCTAATGGTGTAACCTCGGTGCTAATGGTCTAACCTTGGCGCTAACAGTCTAACCTTGGTGCTAACGGTCTAACCTTGGCGCTAACGGTCTAACCTTGGTGTTAACGGTCTATTACCTTGGTGTGAATGGTGTATCCTTGGCATTAACGGTACAACCTTGGTGTTAATGGTCTAACCTTGGTGTTAACAGTCTATTACCTTGTTGTGAACGGTGTAACCTTGGTGTTAACGGTCTAACCTTGGTGTTAACGGTCTATTACCTTGGTGTGAACGGTACAACCTTGGTGTTAACGGTCTAACCTTGGTGTTAACGGTCTATTACCTTGGTGTGAATGGTGTATCCTTGGTGTGAACGGTACAACCTTGGTGTTAACGGTCTAACCTTGGTGTTAATGGTTGAGACTTCTGGGTATACATACTTTTATTCCTGCTATTGGTACTGACAGAGGAGTAAAAATTACATAAAAATATGATTTAGATACATCAGGAGATATATAAAATCCCCCCTCCCCCCCCCCCCCCACAAAAAAAATGAAATAAATAAAATAAAAGATCACAATCACAACAAAGGTGGGAGACTTTAATAGTTAAGGGTTTCTCCCTTAGCAAAAGCCGCATGGCAGTTAACTAAAAGTCATCTTTTGTGTGTGTTCTATTCTACTCACAAGCTGATTTTTCTAGTGTAATTACGTTCTGTAGACTTGTGATACCTCTTTACAAGAGTGGTACTTCAATGCCATATTTTACTGCTGTATATTAAACAGCATGGGACCTTTAAGATACAGAAACGGAAGATATTTTCTTTGATTGCTTCCTGTAAATGTTTCCTCTCTCTTAGTGCTGGATTAATGTTAAGCCATGTGCTAGTCAGTTATCCACCATAACAGTGCTCTTAGCATTTTAAACCACCAAAAAATGTAAATGAATACTTTTTATTTTACTATGAAAAAAAGGGGATAATGATAAGAGCTCACGATCAATTGGGCCAAAAGAATTTCCATTTTCGGTTTAACTTAATAAAATTTGGAGTGGACTTTAAAGAATTATTATTATTATTATTATAAATTTTGAAGTAAGATATTATTCAAAAGTATTTGTATCAAGATAAAAGATATTAATAGAATTAGAAACATGTTTTGTGAAATCTTAGTCGTGAAACTTGTTTGTAAATGTTGGTGGCACTGTAATGGTCAAGGTATATGGTAACAGGAAGAGATGTAATTTTAGTTTTATTCTTGTTGTCTATATATCTGTCTGTCTATATTATTAATATTATTGTCATTTTTCCCGTTTGCATGAAAATCCCTCCATCTCTAGCCTTCATGTTTTACATGCTTTACATCCATTTATTCCCTTTTTCCATTCATTTGCCCCTTTGAAAGCTGCCAGTGACCAGCTCTTAAAATGCTGCATGGAGAACATGGAACATCGTGCGTTGACTGGAAACTGAGATTGATGTGTTTTTCTAGGAAAACTAATACCTTCAAGTGTACCTATTACCTTAAAAATACTTGGTGTATAGCAAGAGTGTTTAACATCAGCCTCAAGAAAAATTTACCCACCATTCTGTATTCCATAAAAGGATAATATGGGGTTTGAAGAAAATAGAGAATAGCTTAAAACTTGGCGCACACGGAACCCGAGTCAGGTTTTGTTTCTGCACGGGACTTAATCTATACAAGTTTGTACAGATGCGTTGAGTAGTCTACGTATCAAAAGTCCCTGTTTTGTTTACTGCATGAGTGTGTCTTTTAACCCCAAATCAACTTATTACAAGGGTTGGATTGCCCTTTAATTGTTTTCAGATTCATTATATTTTATTAGAGCAATGTAGCATGAAAAGAAAATTGTTATTGTTGCCAATTTGAAAAGCAGCATGTGAGCAGTTTAGCCCGGCCTTAAAAAAATCCTGTCCTGATCTGGTGAAAGGTATGGGCATAAGGCCTAAAATAAAATCTTGTTGTATTGCCCTTTGGGTACCAAAACATGGGTCGGTCGGCCAGAATTTTTAATTTTTTTAAAACTTTTTTTTTGTTGCCCTCTTTTGGCCGATATTTCTCAGTTTTTAATGCTTTAATACATGTGTTTCAACGTCATCATTCCATCGATATCTTTTCGATCACCTCATAATTATCCATGGTTTGCACGAGTGAGAATTTTTGAATAATTTGATTTTATGCATTTATATCCCATTTAAACAAACAAAATACCTTTTTTTTAAATTCATTAAAGGGATCGTTTAACAATGTTAAATCTCAGATACACGGCCCTAAGTGTCATCAGTGTCTGTGATATGGTGTAATATTGAAGCCCTAAAAAAATTGCGCTTCAAAATGATCAAGAAGTGCCTCAAAAAAGTAAAAATCTTTGAGTGACCGGTTTTACCATACTCGTTTTCCCCAATAGACTGTAGTGTTATGAAAACCGTCAGGCGAACGGTTTTCAAAATTTGTAATTCCAATCATAAATATCTTGATAATCAGACAGGCGATCGGCTTGTAAAAGTCATGGGGCTCCTGACTGACCTAAAGGTTTATAATTATCATTGCATCATGAGCTAAATCCAGAATTTTGTTTCAGAATCTGAGACAAAGTTACCGGATCCCTTTAATAAAAATAAAAAATAAAAAAAGGTTAAAAAAATAATAACTATTTCAAAAAATCGACCATAGATTTTCAGATTTTTGGGTCGGTCGCAAAGGGCAATACAACAAGTTTTTATTTTAGGCCTAATGTAGGTCCTGTATTGGTGAAGTCTACACTCAATGATTAACCCAAGATTATGTGACAGGAAATGTAATGCTTTTTGCATTGTTAGAATGAGTTCAATACTCAGAAGTTTGTTCAAGTGCCTCATGCGTGCACTTTTGCCTTTGGCATGAACTGGACTGGGATTTGAACTTAGAACCTACGTGTTTGGTGTCAGGGCATGATTAAGAAACACCCTCTAGACTACCATAAATTTCTCTCATGTTCTCTTTTTGGGTTTTATGTATATTGTATAATGTTAAGTAACAAATATATTTCATATTTGTTATTATAAAAAAAAGGGTCAACCTTTATATAAGGATTATGTTTCCTTTCAGGTTGCAACCTATTTATTTTATTTTATGTCCTTGTCCAATATGTTCTTAATGTGTATTTTATGTTATAAAGCTGATTGTTATGTGAAATGTTGTCTTTTTAAAGACCGTCTGTCCTAGTGTGGACAGGAGGGATTAGACCACCCAGGGTGGTGACTGACAGGTGGTCATCTCATCAAATCAGCTCTCAATTAACATAAGAAAAAGAGGATCATGGGATACCAACAGGCTCCGATTAGGCATTGTGTTCTATATAGAGGGAGCAAGTAGTACAGTGGGCCTTTAAATGAATGAAATAAAATTGAATTGAATTTAATTTTCTGTGTATTTCCTCCGCAGGGCATCGGCTTTGCAAATTTTACACTTCATATGTGTTTGGGGATAGTCTTCTGTATGATCGCAGGGTATGGAGCCCTAAGGCTGCTCTATAGAGGCATCAATCTCCATTCTATGGAGCCAAAAGCCATCAGAGGTAAGCAGGTTTAAAGAGAAGGTTGAGTTCTGGGAAGGGGTGAAAAATAATTTGTGAGCGTTATCATTCATATTATGCAAGTGTGGAAGAACATCAGTTAAGACATGTTCCCTGAAAAGCATGGCTCTTCAAATGCCTTCATATTCTAAATATGTCACGTAACAACATAAAAATCGGGACAGATTTTTATGCCACATGTTTGTGTAGCCTCATATACATCTTTCTGTGTACAGTGCTTGTAACTTAATTACCGAGACTGGGCTAATTCCTATCATCATTTTGATGATGCCGGAACCTTGCAGTGTACACACCAATGTGCTAGATGATCAACCTTTTCTGATCAATTCCACAACATTTCTTTTTCAATGCAATTGCATGACCAGAACTCAACTTTATCTTTAACGTGAAATTGCTCCTGAATTTTGTGCATATCCATTGTCTAGCCTTGTTTGGTTGAAGGCATTCATCTTCTCTTCATTTTTTTAAATACAAACACTTGTTGCTGTGCACCCAATATTCTAAATATTGGGCCTACCCCCAGGGGCTGAATATCTGTCAGGTTTCAACACACTTTTAATGTGGGTCAAAATCTGTAGGAAATCTCAAATAAACTAATTTGACTGTAAGGTGTAGGGCTTTGGCAACTTTTCATTCCCCAGTTCTACAATCTTCATTCTCTACAACTACCTGTACACATTTGTTTAATTTCCCATCTTTTCTGAATAGAATTGAAGCATGAGATTGAGATATGGCGTCGGTCAGCAGTACGGATCATGGTAGCGTCCAAGGAAGAGAATACAGTCAAAGCTTTACTGCTCCAGAAAGTCTCCCAACTTGAAACACAACTCAGAAACCAAATTTATGAACAGAGGTAAGGACGAAACGGATTAATGATAATAGAAAGAAGGAAAAAAAAATACTATTCCATTCTTGTATAGCACATATCACATATTACAATGATATAATGTCTCTATGTACTTCTTAAGGACTGTGGATATTATTATCCAAGCTTTAGATCTGTCTTTAGCGCATTTCATTGCGTCTAAATTTTTGCATGCCCCAGAGAAACACATGTTTTGATTTTTTTTTAAATTTGCACAGGGAAAAGAAAAAATTGTGCACGGTCACGTGGTGTCATTTTACCAATTACCTACATTCTAAAACCTATTTTATTACATCAGATGATTAAACACCAATGTCACCTTTGTCTCATCTCGGCCAGAAATTAGAATTACCTTTAATTAACTGGTTTCTGTTGAACTATTGTATTTGTTAAAGTCTTTTCCATCTTTGGTTTCAAATTTTACAGACATACTGCTAATGAAGATGTCAACTGGAGGGAAAAACTGCAAGATTTAGAACAAAGGGTAAATAAAATTTCAACTCTTATGCATTGGTAATAATAGTAATAAATGTTTCTTATACAGTGCTTAACCATTTACAACCTGTTCAACCAAAGCACTTACAGTATTATCATTACCTTGGTCACTTGATTCAAGTACTATTCCACACGTTCCAGTGCACATTCTCCACTCCCAGGGAATATTCTAACTAGTCGCCTTTTTACGGGCGGGCATGCAAGTGCTTATCCTTTCGCATTGATCTTTGCATCCTACCGGGTACCCGTTTAGCACCTGGGTGGAGAGGAACAATGTAGATAAAATGCCTTGCTCAAGGGTAAATTTGCCGTGCTGGGGGGTGTTTCACAAAGATCCTAAGTCGAACTTAACTCTCAGTTGGACTTAAATGTTATGGAGAGCCATATGTAGCCTTAAAATAAAATATATTCAAAAGCAAAAATTTAAGTATTTTAGACTTTTCATAAATTCCACATGAAGAACATGAAATCTCCTTGATAATAGAAAATATGAATGATTTGAATTAACATTTTATGCCTTTTAAAATAACTTTTACAAAATATTTTCATAGATGCTAATGGCTTTTCATAATTGTTAAATCCAACTTAGAGTTAATTTCGACTTAGGATCTTTGTGAAACACCCCCCTGGTTTTCGAACCCACATTTGCATTCCCAGTTAGGTGATTAAACAACTCAAAACTATGACACGGCTTAGTGATTAACCTACACTGTATGCAGGACAGGAACGGAATGATCAGCTGCCCTTCTTCAAATTGGCATCACTGGTATCCTATGCCAATAACAGAGTTTACAGATAGCACATGGTACAAATGACCCCAAATATCCACAGATCTTTTACACATGGAGAAGTTCCACTTTGAGCATCTTAGAATAATAACTGCCAAAGTCCTAGATGTGCTTCATGAATACCTTTTGTTTGACCTCTTGAAAAGAATACTTCCACCTGCGTATCATAAATGTACCGTTGGTGCATAAATGAATAATGTTACATAACTTTAATGAGCGCATATCCAGTATTCATCTCTGTGGGTTTTACCATTTTGGTACAAATTACCTTTATCTGCCCATGCGCAGATTGTATCTGTAAACTCCCTTATTGCTGTATATTACTGAAAGTCATGTATGTGGGGGAAAAATATTTATACAGAAACGTAGTCAAAAAGTTTAAATGTTGCTAATTTTAATGCATCTTCAATTATTGTAGTATACTGTAATACACTGTATTTACTTTAAATTTTGTTTACAGTGCCATAGAGAAGCTTATAAATGCTATTCACTTTATAAACACTGCATGATTGTTATTATCCATCTTCTTTTTATCCGCAGTACCGCATCACAGATCATGTCTTATTGGCGAAATGCAGTTTCGTATTGCTGGTCACAATACTCTTATTCTTCATTCATTCAGTAGTAGACACCATTTACTTAGATCTTGGTAAGTTTATTTTTATCGTGATATTTATGATGATATGATTTTTACCGAGCAAATTATAGTATAGTATTAATGACTGCTTTGAGAGAAATAGTTGTTTTTATACGCTCAAGAGAGCGTATAAAAACAACTATTTCTCGAATATTAAAGCAGTCATTAATACTTTTATATGCCAAAAAAAAATAGACTAAAAAATAAAAAATAAAAAAACTTTTGTCGAAGATGGTGAGGTAAGTCAAGTCAGCGCCTTAGGCCGCTCGGCCAGCGCGCTCTGTCACCATATACAGTAGTTTTCTCTAATATATACATTAAAATGAATTAAAAACGGCTTCGAGTGGTGGATGCTTCGCCGCTGCTCCATTAAACGGGCCCTTCTTTTACTCTTGCAATGCATATTGGCACGAACTTAGATCAAGATCTATCGGCAGATGTTGTTTTTTTGTTTTTGGAAGTTTATTTTCGTCTTCATGTCAACAATGCAAGATAAAATTGTCGGTAAGATCGATCGAGATTCAATTGTATTGAAATTACCGACCAATTCTTCGCACACGTACGGTATCCTCGATCGCTCAGACCATTTTTTAACATGTAAACCTATGGGGTAACCATGGAGACTGACCTATTTTCCCAATAACCATGGTTATTGGGATTTTGAACTGTTTTTTAACCATGGTTACCGGGAATTTTCGGGAACAGTTAAAGTTTATGAATGCAATTTCGACCAATCAGATTGCTGGATTACTTAAGTGAGGTATATAATTCATGTGATTATGGTGACAACTTGAAGAGCATTGAAGCCATTTAAACCAAATTCTAATGAAATATGTATGAGAATGCAAGGATGAAGCAAATAGATTTTGGGTGCAAGAGGTCAAAGGTTAAATTAACTTGTTACTGTGATAACTTGAAAAGCATTTATTTAAAGCAATCGGAACCAGACACAAATGAAGTATATTTATGAGCATGCAAGGATGAAGTGATTAGATTTAGAGTGGAAAAGGTCAAATTTCAAAGGTCACAGGGTCATAAGAGTGTCCAAAAAATACAAGAAAATACAACCTTATGCAATAACTTGAAATAAATGAATCAATTCAAACCAAGCTTTAATATATGAAGTATATATGAGGATGCAGGAATGAACTAATTAGATTTTGGGTGAAATAGGTCAAAGAACACAGGTCATAACCCCCAGAAAATCCCAGATAACGTGTTATTACTGTGATAATGTAACAAAAAAAATTACCTCTATGTCAAACAAACTGGGCTCAATTATTTAAAACCACTAAAGAAATTAAATGACAAGAATGTAGGTCTGTAAGGTCAGATGTTGAAAGTCCTCATTTACTCCGCAACTTGAGATGGAGCTTAAATCCAGTGTTTTGTTTCAACTTTAGTTGAAAATGGACCATTTTATTTTTAAAAGGGTTTTATAAGTGTTAATACACCTTTAAATCCTCTGTATTTACTCTCGTGTTTATTAATTCAGTCAGTTTCAAAACAAGATGCAGTAAATCATGAAGGTCATTAGATATTGATAGTATAAAAAGCTATGATTGTAATATTATTATTATTAGTATGATATTATGATATATAATATGATATTATGATATATATCCAGATGTTATGAAGAGAATTGTAAAGTACATTTTCTTATTTGTCAACAACTTTTTTTTTCTTCAGGTTGGATATCTGTTATTGGAGCAGTAGCTATCCTTCTTTTAGCGGATGTGCATGATATTGAGAATGTCATGCATCGTGTGGAATGGGCTACCTTGCTCTTTTTTGCAGCTCTTTTTGTTCTCATGGAGGTGGGTGTTAATATTTTTTAATGGGGGAGAGGAGGATGAGGGGAAGAGGAAGGGGACAAAAAGGAAGGGGGAGGGGGAGGAAGATGTTGTTGATATTGAGATTGTTATGCATCGTGTGGAATGGGCTACCTTGCTCTTTTTTGCAGCTCTTTTTGTTCTCATGGAGGTGGGTGTTCATATTTTTAATGGGGGAGAGGAGGATGAGGGGAAGAGGAAGGGGACAAAAAGGAAGGGGGAGGGGGAGGAAGATGTTGTTGATATTGAGAATGTTATGCATCGTGTGGAATGGGCTACCTTGCTCTTTTTGTTGTCATGGAGGTGGCTCTTAAAGTTTGTTAATGGGGGGGGGGGGGACAAAAAGGAAGGGAGGGAGGAGGGTGTGGGAGAAATGTGCTTTTTATTGAGAATGTTATGCATCATGTGGAATGGGCTTCCTTGCTCTTCTTTGAAGCTCTGTTTGTTTTGGTGGAAGTGGGTATCAAGAAATGTTGTAATGGAGGAGGAGAAGGAGGAGGAGGAGGAGGAGAGAGGAGGAGGAGGAGGAGGAGGAGGAGGAGGAGGAGGAGGAGGAGGAGGAGGAGGAAGAGGAGGAGGAGGAGGAGGAGGAGGAGGAGGAGGAGGAGGAGGAGGAGGAAGAGGAAGAGGAAGAGGAAGAGGAGGAGGAGGAGGAGGAGGAGGAGGAGGAGGAGGAAGGGGGAGATGGAGGGGGCAAGGAGGAGGATGTGCATGATATTGACAATGTTTTGCAACTCTCTTGTTTTGGTAGAGCTAGGTCTTCATTTTGATGAAGGTGGGTTCCAACAATTGTTTTTAAAAGGAGGAAAAATTTACTAGTATCATCATCAGTATGTCACGTTGTTTTGATTATACAGGGTTTAACAGAGCTTGGTCTGATTGAGTACATTGGTAACTTTGTGGCTGGTATCATAGAGGTAAGTGTGTCCTGCTTTCCCTGCATATAAAGGCATCGTTTAACAATGTTAAATCTGAGATGCATGGCCCTACATGTTATCAGTGTTTTTGATATGGTGTAATATTGAGGCCCTTAACAAAATTGCGCTTCAAAATGACCAAGAAGTGCCTCAAAAAAGTAAAAGTCTTTGATTGATCGGTTTTTCCATACTTGTTTCCCCCCACTGTAGTGTATGAAAACCGTTAGAAAACCATTAGAAATACACAAAATTTGGTTTTGATTTCCAATCATAAATATCTTGATAATCAGACAGGGGTTCCTGACTGACCTAAAGGTTTATACTTATCATTGCAGCATGAGCTAAATCCAGGATTTTGTTTCAGAATCTGAGACAAAGTTACCGGATCAATGTCAATGTTTTGTCATTTTATTTTTGTATCCACTATGGTTTATCGAAGAAAAAGAGTGAACAAATCCAAACAAAGGGGTCACGTTTTCACTATTTTTGCAAAAGTAAGGTACTTTTTGTCATTGTGTACTCAATAAGACTGAATACGGTTATTTTGTACCTGTTTTGAGCCAGAAATGGGTCATACTTTGTGGAAATGTTCTTGAAAGTATGCAAATAAGGGGGACATTTTTTACTCTGCTACGTTTCAAAGTCAAAATGGTTTGTTTGTTTTTTCCTGACTGCTAATAAAGCATGTGTATGCTTGTAAGTAAGTAACCAGATGGCTTTAAGTCCTCTTGTAATGAGAGTTAATGGCTTAGCAAAGGGGCACTAGTGCATGGACTTGGTTTTGAACCTGGGACCTTCCGGTTACAGGACCACTGCTCTTCCACCGCGCCATCACGCCTCACGGAGAAAACCAAAATTCTTGTTTGTTTTTAACCCTAGGGTGTGCCTACAGAAGCGAGACTGGCTGTAGCTCTTATTCTCATACTATGGGTGTCAGCCTTAGCTTCATCTTTCATCGACAACATACCATTCACAACGGCCATGGTGAGTAGATACGTCCCTCTCTCACTCGTGTTACTTCTTTTATGGCTTGCACCATGACGCGGGTGGGGAAGGGCAGTTGTATACTGCAGCGATCGTTTTTAAAGTGTAAATGTCCGGTAAAGGCTGGTTCATATATGACTTTGTAAATCACTGCAAGAACATTTGTGATGTATTACATTTGTCTTACCGTTATGAGAAAATTTGCACTGTATGCTCATCATAAATGCATGAGACAGGACTTGTTCTCCAACAATACCATTGCCATATTGAAATTCAGAAGAATGAATTTGGGATGATTTATAGTCTTAGTTATAATCTTTTATTATTCAAATGGGATTTGCTGTAATGAAAATTATTCTTCATACTTTTACAGTTCTGAGTAAAAGCTTTGAACACTTCTGAAGCTACATGTAGATTTTCTAGAACTTTGAGATCATTGTGCTTTTGACAGTCAAAAGAACTGATTACAACCAACTGATTTTATTCATTAAGGCAAGAAGTCAAGAATGCAAAGGGCTGTTCTGGTACCTTTGCATTGTTTTATGAAATATGTTGTTTAGAAATGAAATATGTTGTTTAGAAATGAAATGTGATGTTATTTTGAACTTGATTGTACATTGTCATGTAATTCAACTGAGGCTGCAAAATGATAATAATAAAACAAACTAAACTGAACAAAAAAAAAGAGGGGGCCAGTTTTCACAAATCCCTTGTAACAACACATGCTTCAATGGTACCAGATTCAGGACGGGTCAAGAAACTGGCTCTTGAAACTAAAAATCCTTTTGGAAGATTTTAACATCTTTTTATATTTCCATATTTATCAGATCCCCATTATCCTTGACCTTGCGGAGCGAGAGGATTTAGGGCTCCCTCTACAGCCCTTAGTGTGGGCGTTGGCCTTTGGGGCATGCCTAGGAGGCAACGGAACACTCATCGGTGCCTCAGCTAATGTAGTGTGTGCTGGGATAGCTGATCAGCATGGTTATGGCTTTACTTTCTATGACTTCTTTAAGTGAGTTTCATTATGAATAACATCTTTTACCATTGCCAGCTTTTCATATGCCTCCGCTACAAAGTAGCAGGAGGCATTATTTATAAAGTACAGTCCATACCAGAGAGATAGCATTACCTGGAGGGGCAAATAAGTATATTTTTACGCTTCAACATCAAAGTAAACATCAAAGTAAACATCAAAGTAAACATCAAAGTAAACATCAAAGTAAAGTAAGTAAACATGTACATTAAAGACTAAGATTGTTTTTAGAATACTACCCCAAAACTTCTGACATGACTGATGATGATAGATCGCTGCTCATGTAATCTACTTCAAGTTCACGAGACGTTTCATCTTTAAACTTGTTTTATCTCTTCATGAACCAATAATCAGTCTTTGTAATTTTATTTGTTGTGACAATTACCATCGTTTACCATCGTTTACCATCGTTTCCTATCTTTAAAGAAATATGTATAATGTTTGCGTATCTTAAATCAAAGTTTCCCACTACTGTCCTTCCATTTGGAATTTTTTGCACTAATTAATTTGATATTTATAATAATCGGTAATTCATTTATATTTGTGGTAATTCTACTTATGTAAATTGTAGATCTTTTTTTTCTGTAAAACATCACAATCCGGCTGTGAACATACATGTTTCAATAAATCTTGAATCTTTCTTTACTAGGGTCGGATTTCCCATGATGCTTTGCACCACCTTTGTTGCCATGATCTATCTCTTGATCTGTCATGTGGCGTTAGAGTGGCACTAGCCTTCCTTCGATCAACACACCTGGAGATGGTATGCTTTGGCCTGATGCTGCAGTTCGTTTTTACACGACTACCAAGGAAGCATATACAGTGAAACCTGTTTGTAAAGACCACTCAATGGAGACAAATAAATGTCTTTACAGCCAGATGGCCTTTATGTACAGGTTCCTTTATTATAAGTTTCAATGAGAACAGATTTTAAGAGAAACTAGGAATGTGGTCTGTATATAGATTAGACACTAGCGCTCTGACTTTGTTTCAAACACCTGACATCCTGATCATGAAACCACTGCTCTTCGACTGCCTTCTGGGATATTAATGTATCTACTTATTTTTTTGTGTTTAAAGGTACCCTTCATTATTGTAAGCATTGAGTGTTTTATCAAGGAGACCCGGTGGTGTTGCTTCATATTCAAAGGTGTAGCACACGATCGTTTAGCTTAGTTGAAAATGACTGGAAGTCCAGAAAGTTTTAATTAGACAATGAATCATTGAAAGAGAAATTATCAGAAACTCAAGACAGAAAGAATATTGTGGATTTTTTAAAAGCTTTTCTGTAAATGGAATTCTCTGTTAGAAAAATTACAAAATAAAAAGTCAAATGCATTTTCTGTTCTTCTTTTTTTATTTTTGTACTCCTACAGTCTAGATGTGTTAGGAATAAATGGTATTTGGATTTATCACTTTTGTATTGTTATGTATTATCTTTATTGCCATTTTGCATTTAAGCAATGAAAGAATTATTTGTCAAAAGCAAAAGCTACAAATTAAATGAAATATTTGCAAATAAGATTTATATATTCATATGTATAAATTGATATGTTGTGTTGTGCAAGTACTTTACTTAAAGCAAGACAAGCTATTTTGTGTGCTTAAGGCTTTGATTTTCTATTATACAATAGTGCCTTAAATCAAAGGGAAAATATTGATGAATTTGTCTGTTTTTTTAAAGTAAATGTTGTGTCATCAGCTGTTAATCTCGGTCACAGAGTTATTATGATTATTATTAGATAAAGACAATTATGCTGATGTATATGTAGCTTTCCATGACACTCTTGATTACTGAAATATGAAAACAGAAATCATGTGCTCTGTTTGTGTATCTTTTTTTTCTTCATTTGAATATGATTGTTTCATGGCATGCAGATCTATTTTTGCGTACATTTGTAGTTGAATGTTTATAGATATTCTGAAATGTTATTACTAGTGGAGTGCATACAATTTACATCGCCTGGTAAAAAATGTTCCTCAATGGAAATTTCTTTAGATTAAAGAGGGGCATGTGTGTGTGATTGTGGGTGATTTTTTTCTCTGTTGGTGTGTGCATGTGTGTGTGTGTATCATATGTTTAATTAGGTTTTCATAGACTTGGATCAATAAGACTATATTATTTACATCTGAGGACTGTCCTCTAATGTCACTATTAAATCAATGTGAGTTATTGCCAATTCAGTACTGAAATTTGCAACTTCTGATTCCATACGTAAGCATGTTTTCCTATGCAATAAAATTTGCAACTCTTTGATGCTGCGTACATGTGCATTCAATTTAGCAAGTCTTACTGCAATAATAATAATAAAGATAGTAATAATAATAATAATAATGGCGATGATGACTATAGTAATACTAATAATATTAATGATACTTACACTACTTCTACTAATAATAGTAATGAGAATAGTAATATTAGTAACACTACAATAATAGGTCCTTTTAAATAATGCTTTCTATGTAGAGCTATATTCTATTGTAAGTAAAACAAACTTGAACACAATCATGTTATAGATACAAATGTATGCATTTTAAGGGAAAATATATCATATGTATTGCTGCCAATTAGAGGTATACATAATGTGATTTATGCTCATGATTTTTTTTTCTGTTACAGATGCCTTTTTGTCTTTTGTTCTTCACGTATGATTTTATGATTTTTAAAGTCTATGTACAGAACTATCACACAGCGTTGAGAATTTCCAATAATTGCAATAATATTGAAAGAATTCCAAAAATCCCATTGAAATTGATCAGCTGATATTACTGTTATATTATATTAAGATATACATGTATATTCTGATGCTTTATATTTTGCTAATTGAAAAAGAATATTTCTGTATGTTTTTCATTATATATTTTGTATATTGGAAATAATTTTGTGTAAGTAATGATGAAATGGCATAAAAATATGTGCATTTAAATTCGATTCTGATTTATTCAATGTATTCTGAATATGATATTGATGTAATGTCAAACTAATAAAGAATATAACAAAGGAATGAATACAAAACTTATGATTGGATCTGTTTGAAACTGTTCCTCTTTGTTTTATGAATTACAGATAGATTAATATTGTACAGTTGGACATTAGTTTCAGAGGTAGAGTTGAGTTTAGGTCATGTGATTGCATTGTGAAAGCCTGTGTGAAAGAAGCTCTGAAAGCGATTGGAAAAGGGTGATTATGTAGCACATGCAGTATAGGTGTATATTGGTCTGTAATCCTGTGACCTTCCGAAACCATCAAAATGATAAGAAAGTGACTCGGCCTTGATAAAAGTGCACTGTACACAGAAATACAAGGAATTGAGACTACATAGACATGTAGAGTGAAAGTGCAGTCCATACATTTCAGACGTGTCTTATATTTCAAACATGACAAGAAGAGCCAATTAATATTTGAAGAGCAATCCCGCTTCAGATCAACCGACAAAGTTGATCTGTTCTTCCTCGGGGTCCCAAAATATCTACAATAAATTGATTAATTAATTAATCAATGAAAATAATAATAACATGGACAAAATCCATGAAACCGAGTGCGTACATAATTGACTAACATCATAACAACAATAATATATATATATATTCCAAGAAAAGTACACCACCCACCCTTCCCATCCCCTGACTTAATTTAATTTCAGCTGTATTGAAGGGTCTATTATCAGAAAATAAAATATGCTTATAGTTCATAGTTTTTTTAATTTCTTCTTTCACAAACATTTGTACATATGATTTGAAGAAAAAAAAGTAACCGAAACAGTAGAGTATCAATATAACAAACATAATTTGAAGTGAAATATTACTATTCAACATGCAACTCTTGTCATTAACAAAAGAAATTCTATACAAAATTACTTATATGTTAGCTCATGTTCTGTACATGAAAGAAAGAGGAGACCTTGAAACTGGGCTTGTCAGAGCAAGGTCCCCAAAAGGAATATAATACCTGAATGTTTTAATTACTTTGAAGAAAAGAGAAGAAAAAACGAAACTAGCTTATAAGACTAGAAATAATTACACATGGGAAATATATTTACAAAAGAGATAGATTGATATATATATGAAAATGGGATATACAAAAGGATGGAGAGCGATAGCGCAAAACGGAATATAAAAACAACAACAAAGAAAAGGTTGTGAAAGAAGAAAGTTATATTTAGGGGAAATGGTGATGGGGAAGAAATAGAAGAGAGAGAGAGAGAAAAGAAGAAAAAAAGCACAATAGAGCAAAATAGAACAAAGCGAGTTTGTTATAGATGAAGAAATGTTGGTAAGGTAAGCCAGCCTGGAAAAGAGGGGGGGGGGGGGGGGAGAGACAATGAAGCAAGACAATAAAGTCATTACATACTATCATATGCGATGACATAGTTTTTACATTAAATATTTTAAGCATATTTACTCAATGTAATTTCAGTTTGTGTTTAAAGACAGAGACACTAACAGAACGAGTTACATCAATAGAAGTGAGTTCCATAATACAGATTACAGTTACACTTTTAGGCTACATAGGTGAACATAGATTTTTGCCTGGTGGCGTAGGAGAGAATTTCATTATCTTTTTTTTTACGAACATTGGAATGAAAGCAGATCGCCCTCGCCTTTTTCTTCTCCTTTAATTTTTTCTTCTTCTTAATGAATTCCTCCTTTTGGCGCAAAACTGTGCGAGTGCACAAAATTACTGGGAAACAGTAACACTGTCAGAGATAGTCTTTAGATACGAGACACGAAAGATGAAATATGGAAATAAAGTGTAAATAGATCTTGTGGTATAAGTGCAGATTGGCTCGGCCAATGTCAGAATCATGGATAACAGTTGTCTTCCCTAGAATTATGAGATAAGTGCAGCAGACATTGAATTAGGTGTCATGGTGAGGACCCTCTTCTGGAAGGGTATAGCGGCAGGCTGGTAATATACGCCGACCTCGCGGTGAAGTAGAGATCGAGGGCATTCTCTAATCAAGTGCGTGTCTGGACTGTCTCTTGCGAGTATCCACAGAAGCAACTTTTTAAAAAGGCGGTTGTTTGCAGGCGCGGATGAAGGGGGTCGAGCGCCCCCCCCCCAAAAAAAAAAAAAATTGTGACCAAAAATTTACTTTTTACAAAAAGGGGGCTCACTACCCCCCCCCCCCCCCCCCCCCCCTTCCCAACCAACCCTGAGCGAAATATCGACCGGCACGATTTTCAAATTTCAGCACACTAAGTTTCAGATTCAGATTCAGATTAATTGTATTGGTCCATTGATTTGGAAATTCAGTTGTTGGCATTACATAAAGCACATGAACAATATACAATAGAAAATAATATACACAAATAGATATTACACACGGTAGCAAATGTACAATGACATATTCATATGGAAACACGGATATAAATCGTTTTTACATAGTGGAATAATATAAGAAAATAGAATAAATAAATGGACTTACAACACTATTGAAAATGTACGATTACGTAGAATTCGAAAATAGTATTGTTATTATATTGTAGTATTACTATTACGTCATTATCATCATTATTATTATTATCATTATTATTATTATTATTGTTACTATTATTATTATTATCATCATCATTATCAACAGTATCTATTACATGTATCATTCTTTGTCACGGTTGTATAGCTGAATTCTTTCTTTTTTTTCCTTCATAAATTAAACAGTATATAAGTAAACTTGGAATAACATATGATATCACAGGGTAATATTTATTTCTTTGCTCGTGATACTGGTACATTTGCTTGAAAAGGAAAGAAAAGGGTACAATGCAATTGATGATTAGTGAAGTGGTGAGATACAGGCTTATTCAAATTGACTGGAGTTGTTCATTGTATTTATGAATTGATTTCAAATTTGGACCTCCCCCCTAAGAAATCCTGGAAAATATCTCAATGTAAATGTATCAATCTGTTTTTTTTTTTAATGCATTATTTCTTTAAGCTGCTTACAGAAATCGTAAATCTTTCGTTTATCAGTGAAAATCGATCATAATCATATATGCTACATGTATATCATAAACAATTGTAACAACTTTGATGTACATTTGAATTAAAAAATGAGTTGTTTACTACAATTAATATTGGGAAGATCGTCATGATGGCATTGGCAGATTTAGCGGATACGTAACCCGTCCACACACTCGCCTCTTTCTTAAAATATAAGGTTCAACCTTATTTGGTTTTTGTGCCCCCTTTTTAAAGTGAATCGGTAACATTGTTGGAGGTTCATGGAAAAACTGCGTAATTTTTGTATGAAATGTTACTTATTACATTCCTTTTACTGTACTTACCTTCTAACATGCAATACAAAAATGAAAAAATTCTCGAACCACAAAGATTCTCCCAATCATTTTTGATTTTCCCAACCGTTTTCCATGAAAATAAGACATAAGACAGGCTTTTAAAAATCTTTCAACACTTAAATGTCTGGAATGGTATATATAGAAGCAATCCATTGTTTTGTGACGATTTACATTCACCTAAAACGTAATTAAATTGTAATTATATATTTGGGAGAATTAAGGAAGCGATCAGATAAGTTTTTCCTAATTTGTATCATTAATAATTAATGGTCTGTTTTCACTTAAAACTTTCAGATTATCTTTAATTGTACATTTAGCATTGAAGACACTACCTTAGCAACATTTTCTCGCATCTGATCAATGTCACCAAGTCCCTTTAAAAGCTAAAATACACCTCGAAAATGTGTAGTTTGATTGTACTTATTCTTTTTGTATGTTTTTTGCTGTTGGTTTTTCGTTTTTGTTTTTCTCTTCATGTCAGATATATCAAAAAATGGTGCCCCAACCTTTCTTTAAACAAATCCTGGAACCGCCCCTGATCCTAGCTGACGTCGGCTAGCTGTCTGATCATTTTAATACGATGGGTCTGTTATATTTAGTTCAACACACGTGACTTGATTGGTACATGCCTGGCTTGGATCGAAGCTCTTAAAGATGTCGAGTACGTTTACGAGCGGGAACATGACCGCGGCGCCGACCATGGTGCCGATGGTTGTACAGCCTCCGAAGCACATCATGGACATGCGGGACCCACTGTCGGAGCGGAGAATCAAGCCGATGGTCGCCCGGCAATAGGAGAAGAAGAGCCCCTGGCCGATCCACGCTAGAACCTGTGTGATAATCAGAATAACAATGTTATATTGTAATATTAAGAATAATACTTTAAGATGATCGCTAAGTCTTTCGAGAAATCAACTTAAGTGCACTTTCCTCCCATAGAATTATTTAGCTTGAAATACATGTTCGCACGATCGCACATTCAAAATATGACGAAAAGGGCTATTGAAATCTTTGATTGATAATGCCTTTATTGAATTTTCGAAAGACTTTGCGCGATTGGGTGATAAAAAATGATAAAAATAAAAAACTGAGAAAGCTAGAAATATAATAGGAATGATAAAGAGATAGTAAGAGTAGTAATAGTTGGACAGAAGGCAAAGTGGATGGTTATATGAAATCTCTCCATATACAATGTGGGACGTATCTGCTGGGTCTGTTGGAGCATTTTATTCATTTGGGTCTAGGTTTGGGAATAATAAGTACACATTTGGCAGTAATTGAGGGAAGATAATGAGACGATGTATATATATATATATATATATATATATATATATATATTGTATAGCTCTTATTGAACATTCGGCGCCGAAATCTTCCTTTTTGGAGAACTACGGCTTATAAACTTATTTTCCCTCTAAAAACGCAAGATCGACATAATAATGTTGTCCATAAATTAATGCTGGCTAATAGACTAAAATAATGTTGATATTGCAACAATCGAAATAACCTGGGAAAATTGTCCACAATATTGTCAATGGATGAAAATTTCATATCACTATCAGGATTATGTTCTCATAAAAATAGTCTTTCAGATTTCTCTTAACATTAAGAAATATATATCTTACAATTAGGAATGCAGCGTGTCAATTTTAGTAAGCATTCCCATTTCTCCTTCTAACTTGAACTTTCTTGAGAAAAAAGTAATTGCTACAAACTTAAAAACCCACCTTTTTGGAGAGTAATTTTTTTCAGAAAGCATTTTGGCACATTCGGGCGGCTACCGGAAAAAAAAGTCAGAAAAAAGTTTCAGGACCTCTATCTATACCCCTGATGTAGTCAAATGCAACTTACAATTAAGGTTTGCCCGAAGGTCTGTTCTTGCAGCGGAGGGGTTGGGCTGAGGGATGCTGTCACGATACAATAGCCACCGGCAGTTACACCACAGAGCGATGTCAGGAGGACAACTGGGTAGCTCGTTGTTGGACGAATCATCACAAGGAAAACCCAATAGGGACACTGATTTCCGCAAAGGTCGTAGCAAGAAGATAGATGTTTGACCCGTATGCTGCTGACGAGTAGCCCTGGATAGACGGTAGGACACCATAGGTGAGGGCGCTGATCAGGGTCAGAGTCGTGAAGAGAAATGCATGTCCTGCTGAGAAACTGCTTTTGGATGGACGAGAGTTGCCCTTCACGTCTTCTTTCTCAATAGAAATGTCGCTAGCTACAATGTTTGCCATTTTACTGTTATCATTTTGATCTTTTTCAGTTCCCATACATGTTTCCTCATTAAATTTTAAGTTGTCTTCGCAGTTTGAATGTACCGTTGCTTTTCGTTTATCTTGAGTTTTGTTTTCTTCAAAAGTGTTGTAACTTGATAACAAAGGTGTTATCTCGTCGTTATCTCGACGACGCGTGCAACAGTTACAGCAACTACACCACGATTCATACACATTACCTGGCGTTTCATCCGAATTTTCGTATTGCTCAGCTTCGTCATATTGGTCCCGAAAAAATGGAATACGTCGCAGGAGGCAAAATGATGTTGTACTGAGCGTCAACACAACAAATATAAAGATAAAATAACTCTGTGGAGGGAAAAGGGCATCTCCATTCCTCTCAATGGCCCATACGGTGCAGTTTTGACAAATTGTGACGTTGGTGTTTGGGTCCACGGTGATGTTGATGAATGTATGATTTGCAACGCATTCATCTTCGCCACCAGTGCCTTGAATGAGCACCACAAAACTTGGAATCACGGAGCTAAGTCCTTCCCCTATGAAATACCAATTCAGGTACTTTGATTTGAGACTGGAGATGAAAGGCATAAATGTCAGGTTGGACGTGCTGTCGACGAGAGCCATGAAAAACGCTAGAATAAGGAACGCGATGCTATGCTCATCCCCGGACCAGAAAGAAAAATAGTCCCAGAAGAATATCAAAAGGAAACTAGCTGTGGCACCCACGGCTAGAGTCGCGTAGATAGTCGGGATTTCTAGATGATAGTTCTTTGGAGCGAGGCACTGGCATGTGACGAAAATAAGTGGTCCGATTGCAGCTGCCTGCGTGGCGATGATAAGGTAAGAGCCGATTCTGTATCCTTCGGGGATGCCTAAGTTGGTAAGAAGTGGCAGTTCTACCCAGAGCCCACCAAGTGAGACCCATGTGCTGGTCCCAAAGGTAACTACCAGCAGGGCCGTCAAAGCATCACAGAGGACAGACTTGGAGCAAAACATCTTCTTGTACTGTTTTACAAAGTTGCGTATTTGAAGGAAATGATTTTAATGTAGTTGAACTTTCCCAATCAGCATAATCAAAAACTGATCCGTAGCTTTCGATCTAACATGAAGTTATGCCTCTCCGAAACTATTAGTACAAACAGCCACAGAAAGTACGGGATTTATCCGTTGTCCTCTTCACGATTATGACATATAACTGGCATCATTAAGTTCTCAGATTATATCATCACCAAGAATCTATGTGCAAGAAGGAGAGAGAGCGGGAGAAACAATTTAAAACAATCGGTTTTTATATTGATGATTTTCTGCTATACAATGTCATGTACTAGATGCTTGAATGTCTGATGTCTTACTTTCGATTACACAAACACAAGTGTTGTAGTCAGTGGCGTGCTAGTACAAGCGATTGAGGGAGTGTTTGGCTTCATGTTGAGACGGGGTGTCACCTGTCTCATCCGGTGACATGTGAATTTACAGGTCCAGCGATTAGAGATAGGGGCATGATCAGTGATCGTTATGTTAATGTCTTCTCGTCTTTTTTCCATCTAAATTTCATTTACATTTCATTTTCTCGATTCATTCTTTCACGCCATCCCAACTTATACATGCTGTAGGCATTACTTTGGCGCAAGCCGATTTTTGCACTCTCGCAAACAATGCCTCCTGTTCATCCAAGCGTAAACACAAACCACACGAAAAAGATGCCAAATGATCTGGGATAAACACTCTTTCATAAGATGTATAATAATTTACTGTTTATAGATGATTTTTAAAATAATTCACAATTTTCTAGGTGTAAACTTTTTTTTTTGACTCACACGGTATAGCTACGCCACTGTTACTGTTAGTAATGAGGTGATTAATGGTGGTTCTGCATCAATTAATATTCTTTATATAGATATCGAAACCGAGAGTTTGGCTTCTTTTATGATAAGCCCTCGATCAGGCAGATTACACATAATTTGATTCGTTATCGGTTAATGATAATTATGTTTATGTTAAAACTCAAGGGCCCGTATTCTACTTAACTCTAAACCCAATACTATAGATTCAGGCTGTTGTTCAGAATTGGGTTTTGATAAAGGAAGTATAGTCTGATGTAAGTTTTCCGTTTGATAGAATAAAGGGATAATACCTTGGGAACATTGGGAACCTCAAGGAACATTCGGGTAATGCCGTTTAATGATACAATCAAACGAGCAAAAGAACAAACACAATGTGTCAGCCCTCGTTGAAAGTAGAGAAGTCTATACATGTACATGTACAATTGTATACTACCAACATATCACAACCATGAGCATTCTTGAGAATAAATATATAGTATAAAATCGCGAGTCTTTCAATCAGGGACTGTACATAACAAATTTGAGACTATAGCATGTTCTTAGAGAGAGGTGCTCCTAAAATAGGCCTATAGGTATGCGGTTGCTTAACGAAATGGTGTAGCACATATAGCACGAGGAACTGATGCGTCTATAGAACGCAAAACGCATAATTTAAAAAAAAAATTCATGGTTAATGTCATTAAAGTAGAACCATGTTATTACGACATAGATCTAATAACCATATATTCAATCTTGTGTAGACTTACTACACACACAAACATGATTGTCATCAAGATCACCAATGTCATCAATGATCACCAAAACTATAAAGCCTGTTGCGTTTCAGATGCGTCTTTTTGTGACACGACATTATAGCTAAGTAGGCCTAAACCACAAAAGTAATCGAAAAAAAACCCAACATCATAGAGTATAAAATAAGATTTATATGGGAAATAAATATGAGAATCACATACATACCGTTTTTTGCTCCAGATGTTTCTCAAATGACATAAAACACTACAGCAGTTTATGTGTGGGCGTGTGCGTGTATCTCTCTGAGGCTGTTCACACACCGCAATGAGATAGCGCGGTCTATCGTAGCACCCCTTTTTTCTAGCGCGCGCTAGACCGCGCTATCTCTCGTGGACCACCCCCAAGAGGTGCTCCAGTGGCACGTCGTTTTGGTTCGCCGTGGCTCGCTGTTGGGCGGACCGAAACGACGTTGTACCTTCCACACCGCAGAGATAGCGCGGTCTAGCGCGCGCTATCTCTGCCGGTGTGAACAGTCTCTCTCTCTCTCTCTCTCTCTCTATCGTGTCCTTACTATCTCATTTCTCCCACGCACAACGTGTATATGCAAACTGACGACAGCACCGACATATATTTTGTTGTCCTCGTCTTCTATAGAACTTCTTCAATATTAAAACTAAAGTGCATGAAGCCGGTGTTTAGATCGCCGAGATGAGGTTATTCGGATAACACGTTTGCTCCAACGTTCAACACTAGACCCTCATTACGTAAGAGATCTATATTGCGCCTTTGTCGTCAAAGAAGAAAGTCAAACAAACATAAATACTCGTGAAGAGGAGTGTTGTGAACGGGCCGCTCTGTTTGTTCAAAGTCGGCCATATTTTTCATGTTGAATGGTCTGAGACTGAGGACCGGTGAATCGGGCATATTTAATGCGAGAGAAAAACAAACTATTTGAAAAGCTAGCTGTGCCGAGGAGGATGAACATAAGACATCCCCTAAGCACACTGCCCACACTGCCCTGAAACCAAGCGCGTACGCAGGATTTTTTCAAGGGGGGGGGGGGGGGGGTTTAACATTAATAAAGCGGCCCGAAAATTTCGCAACGACTCAGCCAGCCGCTGAATAAGCGGGGGGGGGGGGGGGGGGGGGGGGGGGGGGGGGGGGGGGGGGGGGGGGGGGGGGTGGGGGGGGGGGGGGGGGGGGGGGGGGGGGGGGT